AGATTTACTTCATCTTTAAGACTAAATAATATTCCACTGTATTTAAACATGACATTTTCTTTATCCATTCATCTGTCAATGGACATTCAGGTTGCTTACATGTCTTGGTTATCATGAATAGTGCTTCAATGAACATGGGAATGCAGATATCTTTGAATATATCCTTTGAATATATATCCAAAAGTGGGATTGTTGGATAATATAGTAGTTCTATTTGAAATGATGTCTTTGTACTGATTTTTAAAATATTCTGGCTTGTATATTTTGTGTCATAATTAACAAATATTTACCAAACCCAAGGTATCTAAGATTTTCCCCAATGTTTTATTCTAGAAGTTTATAGTTTTTGCCCTCTCATTTAGGTCCATGATCCCTTTGGAGTTACTTTTTTTCCCCTGGTGTAAGATAAGCGTTGAGGTTCATATTTTTTAATATGGCTATCCAATTGTTCAAGCATGATTCGTTGAAAAGATTGTCCTTTCCTCATTGAATCGTTATGGTGTTTTGTTGAAAATCAACTGGTTGTGTATGTTTGGGTCTATTTCTGGACATTTTATTCTGTTCCAATGTTATTTTTGTCTATTTTTACATTAACAATGTAGTTTCTTGATTAGTATATCTTCATAAAAATAGTATCAGTAGTGTTAGTTTCTCAAATTTATTATTCTTTTTGAAATTTTTTTTGCTAATACAATCACTTTGGTTTTTCATCTATATCTTAGAATCCTTTTGTCAATCTCTACAAAAATTTCAACTGGGATTTGTGTTGGGATTACATTGAACCTATAGGTTAATTTGGAGAGTTTCCATCTTAATATGAAACTTCCAGTCCATGAACACAATAACTCTATTTATTTAGGTCTGAGATTTCTCTCAGAATTTTTTTGTATCTTTCAGTGTACATGTTGCACATCTTTTGTCAAATTTATCCCTAAATATCATATTTGTTGATGTTGTAAATTCTGTGTGTATTTATATATACATATATATTTTTAGAAATTTCAAGTCTGATTTTTTATTATTAATATATGGAAACCCAGTACAATTTTGTATTTTGAGCCTGTATTTTGACACTTTACCACACTCATCAATTAGCTATATTAGCTTTCTAAAGTTGCATGTTCTGTAGGATTTGCTACATAGACAATTATGTTCTTTGCAATATGATAATTTCTTTTTCTTTTCAAATATGGATGCCTTTTCTTTTCTTTTTGCCTCACCAATTGAAGAGCTATTTCTTCTGTTTCTCTCTTTCTTCTACTTCTGATGTTCTCATTGTGTGTATGTTAACAACTTTGTAGTTGTTACACAGTTATTGGATATTCAGTTTCTTTTTTTCAGTCTATTTTTTCTCTTTGCTTTTCAATTTTCAAGGATTTTATTGATATATCCTGTAGTTCAGAAATTCTTTCCTCAGCTATGTCCAATTTACTAATAAGCCCCCCAAAGGCGTTCTTCATTTCTGATACTGTGTTGTTTTCTCTAACATTCTCTTTTTGTTAGGATTTCCATCTCTCTGCTTACGTTACCCATCTGTTCTTGAATGCTGTCTACTTTATCCATTAGAGCCCTTAGCATATTAATCATAGGTGGGTTATTTTCCCAGTCTGATAATTCCAACATCCCTGCCATATCTGGTTGATGCTTGCTCTGTCTCTTCAAATTGTGTTTTTTGCCTTTTAGTATGCTGTGTAATTTTTTTCTTGACAGCTGGACATCATGTACTGGGTAAAAGGAACTGCTGTAAATGGACCTTTAGTAAAAACTAGGTAAAGTGTAGGGTAGAGGAAGCATTCTATAGTCTGATGATCACATCTCAGTCTGTTTAGTGAGCATGTCCCTCTGGACTGTGAACTTCAAAGTGTTTTTATTTATTTTTTTTCTGTTCCTTTAGGCAGAAGAGGATGGATAGAATGGGCTGGAGTTTGTTACCTCCCTTCCACAGGTCAGGTAGGCTCTGATAATACCCCAGCAGTTTAGGCTCTGGTTAACTATTTTCTGCTAAGGCCAGGCCTCGTTAAGAACAGCAAAGTGCTCTTGCTTATTTTAAAATTGTTCCTTTTCCCCTTCTTTCACTGGAAGCAGAAGAGGACTTTATTTTGAAATTTACTTTGGGAAACTGGTCGAGCTCCTGGAGGTGTATCTCTCAAATTTTTTGGGTCCCCTTATTACTGGGTCCCCCATTACTGGGCCCCCCTGGAGTTTTTAACTCTCAGACTTCACCTCACTGAGCCTCCAGCAATTCATCAACTGCAGTTCAGGTTTTCCTACCTGGTGCTAGTTCTCTGGTGGTTTCTGCCTGTGAATCTCTGCTGCAAGGAAAGTGACTCCCTGCATTTGCCTGTCTGTCTTTCTAGTCTTGGGTACAGCAGTTGGCCCTGTGTCCTCCCTTCTCTTTCTTATGGATCTAAGAAGAGCTGTTGATTTTTCACTCTGTCAGCTTTTTATCTGTTGCCAGGATGGAGTAATGACTTCCAAGCTTCTTACATGGGGAACCTGAAACTGGAAGCTCCTACATCTTAATTTATCACAATCTCTTTCAGATTAATGCTAACTTAATTTCAATAAAATACAGAAACTTTGCTCTAATATAGCTCTGTTTCTTCCCTCCTTCTTTGGGTTATTAGTGTGATATATATTATGTCTATATAAGGTATAAACCTAACAATCGCGTGTTATAATTTTTCCTTTAAACAATCATATGTCTTTTTTAAAAATGAAGAGGAGAAAGGAGAAAAACAGATTTATAGATTCTTTTATCTTAATCTAAATATTTACCGTTTCCACTGCTCCCTCAGTGAATTTGAGTTACCGTCTGGTGTCATTTCTTTTCTCCAAAATAGCTCCATCCCCTGTCCACTTCTTTGTTCTTTTATTGTTATATATATTAAACTTTATAGACTATAAACCTGACAACACAATTTGAAATTTATTGTTTTATACAATTTTCTTTTAAATCAATAAGAAAATAAAATAAAAATATACCTACACTTCCTTTTCTATTTAGCTGTATAATTTCCTTTACCTGGGTTCTTTATTTCTTTACATGCATTCACATTATCATATGATATCATTCTCTTTCATCTTGAAGAGCTTCTTTTAGTCTTTCTTGTGAGGCAGATCTTCTAGCAATGGATTTTCTCAGTCTGAGTTTATATGGGAATGACTTTAAGGGGAACATTTTCCTAAGCAGTTTCTAGTTTTGGCAAAGGATTAATGGGAACAGAATGGGTGTGTCTCTGAGAGTGAAGAACATCATGGATGCTGAGGTGTGGACAGACACCACAGCTGAGTGACGGGGAGCAGGAGAGTCTTGTCTTAGATCTCACCCATTTGGAAAGAATTTGAACTATGTATCAGTTTGCTAGGGCTGCTGGAACAAAGTACCACAAACTGGGTGGCTAAAAACATAGAAATTAATTGCCTCACAGTTTTGCAGGCTAGAAGTCCAAAGGAAGGTGTCAGTGGGATTACTTCTCTCTGAGGGCTGTGAGGGGACAATCTGTTCCAGGCCTTTCTCCTGGGCTTGTAGATGCACTACTCTGACCTCTGTCTTCATGTTCACACAGTAGTCTCCCTGTGTGTGTGTCTGGCTCCAATTTTTTCCCTTTTATAAAGAGACAAGTCATATTGGATTAGGGCTCACACTAAAGACCTATTAACTTGAATACCTCCGTAAAGACCTTATCTTCAAATAAGATCGCATTCTGAAGTACTGGGAGTTAGGACTGCAACATATGCAACATATTTGTGTGTTGTGTGTGTGTGTTTGGATGGGTGATATGATTTAACTGATAACAGACAGTAAGGTTTGTTGGTTTGTTTGTGTTTTGCTGAGGAAGATTTGCCCTGAGCTAACATCTGTTGCCAATCTTCCTCTATTTTGTATGTGAGTCACCTCCATAGCATGGTCACCAACGAGTGGTATATACCTGGGAACTGAACCCCGGCTACTGTGTGTGCTCAACTTAACCGCTAGGCCATGGAGTTGGGCCCAAGTTTTTCTGTTTCTTTTTTAATCAATGAGTCTGTTACTCCGACTTTTTAAACTCAACTTGTACAGCATCCCTTTTACAGGTGAAAGGCAGAATTGTGGAGTCCATCATTTTGATCAAGAGTCCTATCTCCCCTTGTCAAATATCTAAACCTAGCAAGGCTCCTATGTCCCTCCCTTAGGCTGACTAAATGAAAGCCTTTAATTAGAAGAAAATGTGGGAATTTAGATTTATCAACTTGGATTGGGGAAAGTCTTCCTTTTAAGGCTTAGATTTGACAATATAAAAATAGAAATATCCCTGATAACAGCTTAACAAAGAAAATTAAAAGATACAATATGTTTGGAGGAATTATGTGCAATATATATAACAGGCAAAACAATATTCATTTTATTAAAAGAATTTTTACAGATAAAGAAGAAAAAGACAATCTATTAAAATGTCAACACACAGCGCAAGTTGTTCAACTGCCCTAGTAATCAGGAAAATGCACATAAAAATACAACAAAACACTTTCAAGTTTTCTACAATCTAAAAAGGATTGAGAATAGTGTTAAGAAAGATGCAGGGAAATAGGCTTCCCATACTCTGCTGGTGGCAGTGCAGACTGTTAGAGCCATTTTGTAAGGCAACATTTCAATATCTATAAAAATACAAAATAGGTGTGTCCTTTGACCCAGCAATTGCACTTGTAAGAACCCATAAGTAAATAAACATATTTAAAAAATATATAAATGTATATGTTGATACATGTAAATATAAATATATATACATACATATTCGTATATATGTTGATATATGATTCTGGTTATGATTACTAAGAGAAGCGAAAAATTTAAATAGTAATAGGTGAGCAAGTTAATTAAATTATTATACAAGCATACCATAAAGTTCATGTTTGTGTGTGTATAAGCACATCTCAAAAATATATTTTTTAAATAAAAAAATAATTTTTCAGAAAAATACACCTGATATGTTCCAATTTACGTAGGAACATTGGGTAAATCTTTCCATGAGTATCCAGGTAAGTGGAAAGGAAGTGATTGGCAGGACACACTCCAATCTGACAAAATGGGTGACTACAGGACTCGAAGAGGAAATGGAACAGAGATGTGGAGAGTCAGTTTTGGGCTTTCAGATTTTACTCCACATACTTATATAATATATTGAGTCTTTTACAGTGAGAAAGGATTTGTGTATTTTTGTGTAATAATAAAAATATTACAAAATAAAATAAAAAGTGAAATTAACATCCACATATCTGTACCGTTTTTACTTCTTTCGCCAAATCTTCTATATCTCAAATGTACATGCTACAGATAAGCAAAAAAGAAAATACCAAATTTTTCTCAAGGACAAATGAATCAGTTTCTAAAATTCATTTCCATTTTTGAGAAGTTGAAAGGAGTAATGTGATGCCATATCCAGAGCCTGGGCACTTCTCTGGGTCCAAAGGGAGAAAGTCTTTGGGACAACCAAATGGTTGTTCTCACCTTTTTTAGTGAGACCTACAAAGAAAGTAACATTTGATTAAAACAAAGAGCCATGGCAAATTCTCATTTCTTTTCCCCTTTATTGCAGGATTTCAATTGTGATTCTTAGTTTTCTCCCAAGCTTCTCAGTCTCTTCAATAATGTAAGCCTTTCCTCCTCATCCTCTTTGTTACTTTCATTCCTCCTTGATTTCCTCATGATCTTATCTTTACTCCTTTTCCTTTTTTCCTCCTTTACTTTTCTTCTTCTTCTCTTGGGCTTCTGCTCATTCTGAGGCAGTGTCATTTTTGGATGCCTGCTGCTGCTTCCCTTCCCCCACCAGGGAGATCTTGCACAGGTGCAGCCCCATCTGTCCCAATGTGCCTCTCTCACGATGCAGTAGTACACAGCAGTGTCTCTCAGGGTGACCTGGGGCAGGATCAGGATACTGGACTTTCTGTCTGTTGTGATGGTCAAAGAGGCCATTCCATTGGTCACATTGCTTTTTAGACCATAAATCACATACTCTGGACCCTGGTGGGGAATCTGTCGATACCAATATATATACTCATTTCCACTGATTGTGGAGTGGTTACAGGGCAGGTGCACAGTTTCTTCTTCAGTACAATCCATTGCATTTGGCTGTGTGGTCTTAGCATCACCAATAATACCTGAGGGATTGAGAAGCAATAGATTAGCTCTGGATTGTCAAATCTGGGTGCATCTAAGGTCAGGTTCACAAGCACTTCCAGAGCTCGTCTTTCTAGTCATAGCCCACACTTGAGTATTTTCATGTGTGTTGCACTGGACAAGAAAAATATTACCGGTATTTATTCTTGAGCTATCCAGAACCACAAGGCCAAAGATAAATTGCTGTCTTCCATGATTCTTGGGCTCAGTGAACACAAAACTCTTTACAGCCTGAAAGTTGTGAGTCTCACGGTGACTTCTGTGAGTAGTGGATACCATTAGCCTCTCACAGTGATGCTCAGACTCTCTAGAGAAACACATGGACACATAGAAACACAGAGATGCAAATTCTTTCCAGTAGTTTGGTGAAGTACAGTGGGAGAAGTAGAAGCAACAGATACCTGCCTTTTGTCTTTAGCCACGAAAATCATCATTTCTTAGACCCAGATCACTTACCAAAAGCCAGGAGAATTGCTATTCCTGTCACTGATCTCATAGTTCAAGTGCAGTCTAGGGTTCCAAGCCTCAGAGTTCGGGATCTGTGTCTGATCCTCTGTTGGGGGAGGTCCCCAGCAACAACACGGCAGCCACTATCACACCCCCACACCAGGAAGCTCTTGGTTTACGTGATCCCCAGTCACACATCTGCTAAAGACCAAGCAGTCTCTTGGTTGGGTCTTGTCACAACCCCAAGATTAAACGTAAATTTAAAAAGAGGGTAAGAATATTTTCCCAACGTCTAGCCCTAATTCAGGAGGTTTGCACTGAGATCATTTTCAAGGTTCAAATAGTCTATGTCTGAATGAGTCAAATCATCCACAAGGAGATTACCCGTTCCTCATTTGTGGTTCAAGGCAAAACCCACCACTAATTGATGTTCTGATGCTACACTGAGTTCATATTAAATGTTCTTTAATTGAGGAAAACTTTCTTGAGCTATGGGTTTTAAGGGGAAGAAGAGAATTCCTGTCCATATTCCCAGCCAGAGCAAGTAAGTCTCAGGAGCAGTAATATGTAACTTAACTTCAAAAATTAGAAACTATCTTCTGATTAGAAAAATGATCATAAACTAAGTTAAAAATCCAATGACACTGTGGAAGAAAATATTTGCAACACATAGGACAAAAATAACTTAATTGTTATATAGTATTGCTGTGCTTAGTATGATGGGAAAAGATAAAATTAAAATCCAATCTAAAGGCCAAGTTTCCCGCTATTCAGGTATTCCACATTGGCTCCTGGAATGATGTCTTAAGCATCTTCTAGATGGATATTATTGACTGCCTCTGGTCTTGTTTCAGGAACCAAGGACTTGGATGGTATTTATTCCTATTCCACCTGAGATCCTATTTAACACATATTGTCTCACCTCATGCCCATGCCTAAGGGTGGCATCCACTGAGGACACAAATGAGATAAAGGGAGAAGGAAGAGTTGGGAAGAGAAAATTTGGAGAGGGAAATGAAATGAAGCCATTTTGCAAGACAGGTGGAAATAAACATAAAGTAATTTCTTTGGTTATTCTCAAAAGTGATTATTATTAACAAGATGGTATAGAATAAAATCAAAATTACTCATCCTTTTCTTCTACAATAACTAAACTGATTACTCCTCTATAGGAGCAAATATTTGGCCATTTAAAATTAAACTATTAATCACCTCTCTCTTTTCTTCCCATGAGGGGTCAGCTCTTTGTTCTGCATTTGGGAAAGGGCTTACTTATGTCCTTGAAGCTGTGCATACCCTCAGTGTGAGATTATGAGGTACACACTGAAGAAAGGGATGAAAGTAAGTCCTTTGCACAATGATAATCTCCCCCTCACCCTGTAAGGAACTTCAGTTTGCCGCTTTAACAGCCCCTCTTGTGACTGTACTTATGAACTCCTTTACTTAGAACCAGGAACCAAGTCATCAGCAATCTTTCAAGGGTTGTGTTTCAGGTTTCAAGGTAAATGTCTCAAATTTGCTACCTCCCTCTAGTGGCAAGGCTCACTACACAGTACTCTAAGATTAAAGATTGAATTATGTTCAGTCACTTGGGAATTTTAGAACAATTTCTGTGATGTTTTTCTCACAGAAACACTTCTAAAATCTCCCTCAATAAAATTCCTTTTATTTTCCTTAGTATCTTGTACCTCCCATGTTTGAAGGCAGTTCCTAAAGCTCATATTATTCATTGTTTAGCATAGAATTTGGCACAGACTAGGCACTTAATGATAATCTGTTGGGTGAATGTATTAATTAATATTTACTGGGAGAAGTTATATGGAATGACTCTCACCAATTATTCTGCATAAAAGCTTCTGATTTTCTAGAAAACAAATTTAACAAAAGTATCCAGCAGTGAAGGTAAATGAAAGAGTAGACCTATATACAAAATTAAAAAATAGATAAATAATAATAAATAGATAATAGATAAAAATAGATAGCACACCAACTCTCACTCCTCATCCTCAAAAAAATTGACAAATCTAGAACAGAGAAAGCCTGGTTATGAGAATATGGCAGTCTGTGGCATGGCCATCACTCAGTCATGATTGATTTAACAAGTATTTAGTGTGCATCTATTATTGACAGATTATAAAGTAGCAATAATAATCCAAGACTGGTGTAAATATATAAATGAAAGAAATACTGAGATTCCTGTAAGAAATACAAAAAGTAAGAGTTATTATGTCCTCTAGTTACGTAATGCAAAAGTCAGACCAACATTACAACTGTTTATCTAGTGTTCATTACTGCGACATTTAGATGGCATGGAGAATCCAGACTGAGTCCAGAGAATAATAAATATTGTGGTACTTTTTGGTTTTATTTGTTTGTTTTTATATAACTGCTTCATTGAGATATAATTCATACACAGTACAATTCACCCATGTAAAGCACACAATTAAATCGTTTTGAGTATATTCATAGAGCTGTGCAACCATCACCACAGTCAACTTTAAAACATTTCATGATGCCCAAAAGGAACCTGTACCATTAGTAGTCACTCACAATTTCCCCACATGAAACTCCTTCTAGGTAACCACTAATCTAGTTTGTCTCTTAGTGCACTCGGTTTGCTATAACAAATTACCACAGACTGGGTAGCTTATAAACAATAGAAATTTACCTCTCACAGTTCTGGAGTCTGGAAAGTCCAAGATCAGCACTGGCAGATTTGATCTCTAGTAAGGGCCCACCTTTGGGTTTACAGATGATAACTTCTTGCTGTGTCTTCAAATGGTGGAAGGTGCAAGGGATCTATTTAGACTCTCTTTTATAGGGTCATTAATCCCAAAGGCCCTACCTTTTAATATCATCACTGGTGGGGATTAAGATTCAACTTAATGAATTTGGGGGGAACACAAACATTCAGACCATAGTAATCTCTATAGTTTTTCTTATTTTGGACGTTTCACATAAATGGAATATACAATATGTGACCTCTTAGGAATACTTTTTTCATTTACCATAAGGTTTTCCAGTTTCATCCATATTGTTGCATGTGTCAGTACTTCATTACTTTTTGTTGCCCAATAGTATTCCATTATATGGATACACCATATTTCATTAGTCAGTGCATCAGTTGATTGGCATTTGGGTTATTTCCACTTTTGGGCTATGAACATTCATGGATAAGTCTTTGCATGGACATATGTTTTCATTTCTTTTAGATATATAACTAGGTGTAGAATTGCTGGATCATATGATAACTCTATATTTAATGGTTTGAGGAACTTCCAGACCACTTTCCAAAGTGGCTGCACCATTTTACGTATTCAAAAAGCATCACAAGCTTCCATTTCTTTATATTTTCCCCAATATTTATCTTCCGTCTTTTTGATAAGCCACTTTAGTAGCTGTGAAGTAGTATTTTCCTTTGGTTTTGATTAGTATTTCCTTGATAGCTACTGGTGTTGAGCATCTTTTCATGTACTTATTGGCCATTTACATATATTCTTTGAAAAAATATCTATTCAAATATTTGACTCACCTAAAATTGAATTTTGACTTTTTAATGTTGAGTTTCAAGTATTCTTTATATGTTCAGATATAAGTCATTTATTAGACACATGATTTGAAAATAGTTTTTCCATTTTGTGGGCTGACTTTTCACTTTCTTGATTGTATTCTTTGAAGCACAGAAGTTTCCATTTTGGTGAAGTCTAATTTATCTATTTTATCCTTCTTATTTGTGCTTTTGGTGTCATATGTAAGAAGGCCTTGTCTAACTCAAAGTCACAAAGATGTACTCCGATGTTTCTTTTAAGAGTTTTATAGCTTTAGATCTTGTAGTTAGGTCTTTGATTCATTGTGAGTTAATTTTTTTGTATAGCATAAAGAAAGTACAACTTCATTCTTTCATATGTGGATCCACAGTTGTTGAAAACACTGTTCTTTCCCCTTGTCGAAAATCAATTAATCATAAGTGTATGGGTTTATTTTTGGATGCTCAATTCTATTCCATTGATCTATATGTCTATTCTTACTAAGTCATTAAGTATGGATACCTTCAAATTGAGAAGTTAGCAGTAAGCAGTTTTCCTAAGTATCATTATCAGTTTGCAAACTTGTTTGTAGTTTGTGAGAGTGTCAGTGAATTATTCTCCCCACTACCTAGTATTATCTTTCTTTTTAAGTTTAGACTTTCTGGTGGGTGTGTAGCAATATCTCACTGTTTTTATTGTTTCATTTGCTTTTAAATCAATATTATTGAGGAATAAAATAAATGAAGTACCATGAGCCCATTTTAAGTGTTTTGAAATATAGTGAGTTTTGAAATCTAGACTCATGGAACTATTGTCTAAATGAAGATATAAAACAATTATTTCACCCCAAATCATTCCTTGGTGCCCCTTACCAGTCAATCTTCCCTAACTCTGGAACCCTGGCAACCACTGATCTGCTTTCTCTTAATGTAAATTACATCTGTCTTTTCTAGAGTTTCAAATAAATGCAAACAAACAATGAAAACTCTGTTCACCTGAATTTTTTTATCAGTATGTTTTGAGAATGCATCCATGTTACTGTGTGTATAAGTATTTCATTTCTGTTTATTACTGAGTAGCATTCAATTCACCTGTTGATCGACATTTGGGTTATTTCCAGTTCTGGGCTATTATGAAAAAAGCTGCTGTGAATATTTGAGCAAAAATATTTCTGTGAACATATTTTTTATTTCTTTTAAGTAAAGACCTAAGAGATCAATTGTTACATCGTATGGTAGCCGTATGTTTAACATTATAAAAAATGTTAAAACAGGGGGCACAATTTGATATTCCTAGCCACAACATAATAAGCCTATAAGAGTTGCAATTGCTCCATGTCTTTGCAACACTTGACATTGTCTTGTGTCTTTTCCAGATGGACTTGCTCTTCTTCTCAGTTGAGAGGTTCTAGGTATCTCAATTAGCTTAGTTCTAGGAACTGAATAAGGAGGGTATGGATCCACACTGTAGTAACTCAAGTTAAGTTTCCAACCCTCCAGCAAATCTAGAAGATATAAAGAGGGACCTTAATAAGTTACCCCTTTCTTTCATTTCTAGGTGCTCTATAATTAGTTAGCTTTCTCCAAAGATCTCTTAAGGTTAAAACACTCTGATTAATACTCTTTCTCTATGATTCAATTTGATAATATCAAATACCTTATCTCTGTCTATTAAACACCCCCGTCTATCACTCCAAGATCCCATTATGCCAACTGAAATCAGGAAAGCAACTGTATATGGCAATATGCTCCTTTTGTGCCCATTCCTGTCCCCATCATCTCACCTTACGGAAATTGCCTCCAAGTAACATTGGATTCTGGTGACTTACTCAACAATAAATTTCTTGATACCTTGGTGAAGGGAGTGTCCTGTAGGATTCCTAGAGAGAATGGTTAGCAAGCATATGATCAAATTACACTTATAAATTCCATTTCAACATTCCCATTTCCCTGAATTTTCAGACTTCCTCTTCTATAAGATACCCAGGAAGCTTCTGCATTCCAGTCTCATTAGCTGTAGGCCAATGGAGCTCTTATTATCTGTAGGTCCAAAGTGTATACAGGAAGTAGGGCATATCAAAACCTGAAAGGAGATGGTCATGTAGAGAGTCAGCTTGAAAGGATCTACATGTAGTCTTTGAACAAATGATGCAACCTACTCAAAAAGATCCCTCAGGAAGAGAACAAGGGATAAGTACCCTGAGCACACTCTGTTACTTCTTTCAGATTTCTTCAGGGGTCTCCTATTGGCAGAAATTCACTAGAATCCAAAAGGGAGAGGAGCTATATTCATGTGGTCCATTCAGATGAGCCTCCTGAGGCAGGAGAAAGATGGAAAGATGGATATGAGAAGCAAATGGGACACTTTTAGCTGTAGATCTGTGTCTAGTTGTCTACTCTTCCACTCATACCACAGTTTTAATTTCATAGGCTTAATATTAGGTAGAGGAAGTCCTCTTCTTTGCTCTTCTTCTTTCAGAGTGTCTAGAATATTCTTGACTATTTTTTCATATATTTTAGAATTGGTTTTCTATACACGCGTGCGCACACACACACACACACACATACACACACACACATTGTTGAGACTGATGGAGATTTCATTAAATTTATTTACCAAATGTGAGAACTGACATTTTTGCGTTATGCACCCTTTAAATTAACAAACATGATGTATTCTCACACTTATTTACATCTTCATTTTTTAAAAATTTATGTTTAATATATTTTTGTGATGAGGTCTTATAAATTTTTTTTAAATATCTGCTCATAAGTATTTTGTAGTCATCCTATTTTGAGTATTTTTAAAAGTTTCATTTCTAATTTGTAGTTGCTTGCATATAAAATGTAATTTTGAATATCATATTGCTAAACTGCTTACATAATGTAATATATTTGTAGATTATTGTGGATTGTCTGCATCACAATCATGTCTGTGATTAATGTTATTTATATTCCTTGATTTCTGCTTATTAAAACTTTTATTTCTTTTTCTTTCCTTTTTATACTGGCTAGGACCTCCAGTACACCGTTTAACAGAAATAGTGCTATTTGGCTTCCTTGAAAGAAGGAATTTAACATTTCACCACGAAGTTTGGTGCTTGCTTTATGTTTTTGTAGCATACACTTTACCAGAATGAGGAAGTATTTGTTTTATTCCTAATTTTCTAGGAATTTATTTCTTTATCATGAGTGAATGTTTTTTGTACATCAAATACTTCTGTGTAACTATTGAGATGATGAAATGAATTTTTTATTAATGTGTACTGTTATTTTGATTGATTTAAAATGTTAAATAAACGTTACATAAACCCAACTTGGTTGTGATATATTATTGTTTTATATAAACTGCTAATTCTTTTTGCTCTATTTTGTTTACAAGTTTTGAACTTATGTTCACTGAGGTCATTCTATAATTTAAAAAAATTTCTTTTCAGGTTTAATATTAAGATTATACTGTCCTTGTACAACATTTCCTCTTTTTTGTTCTGTATTTACATAAGTTTGGTGCACTATTCATATTTTGATAAGCTATGCTACCATAACAAGCGATAATCAACTCCAAAATCTCAGTGGCTTAAAGAAACGGTTGTTTATTTCTTGCATATACATAGTTCATTTTGAATCAAGGTGATTCTCAAGGTCAGCTATACCTCAAGTGAGGAGTAACATTTGAACCTCCATATCAGCACATAACTCAATGATCACCATAGTCCTAGAAAGCAGAGATTGAAAGTTAAGCTGGGCAATTAAATGCTTCCATCATGAAAAGACACATGCCATTTCTACTCACATTTCTTTGGTCAAGGCAAGTCATATGGCCATACAATCTTCAGAAGGCATACAAATCTTCTGGGTTGCTGAAAGGGGAGGGGAACTGGATAATGATGAACAATCCATAGTCAATCTGTGGACTTGTAATTTCATTTTGTCTCTTCACCCCGTGCCTGAGACAGGTACTCCTTCTCCGAGGGAAACAACTTATGATACTCTTACAGTGACTTCTTCTGATCAAAGGCAGGATTTCTGATTGATCTCCCATAGGCTTCCTCTGGTCTTGACGTGGCTCCTCTTGGTCTAAAGATCTATGAAGAAAAAACAAGGAGAAAACAACCAAAAAAAGAAACAAAAACAAGTAAACTGCCTTCTTCACACACTCAATATGCAATTATGGAGCAGTTGCAGAATTAAGTCAGCCGTACAAGGTTCTCTTGCAAAAGAGAATGAAGACAGACACACAGTGTTCCTTTGAATCTGGTCTACAATCCCAGGAGGCATTTGTTTTGGCCTTCCTTACCCCATTGTCATGAGACTCTGACTGTGCTTCATGCAAGGAGCCCTCTTGTTCATTGTTTTTCACATTCTCTGGCTCAGTCCTCTGGAATATTCTTCTTCCATTATCTTCTCTAGCCACATATTAAGGGCTATGCCTTCCTTGGGGGATAGCTTTCTCAACCCATTCTCTGCTCGGGTTTCTTAAGAGCTGAGGAATTTCTCTGAATCTCTAATGATCATTGTTTTAGTCAAAGCTGCTTTTGGTCATGTAGCTCTTCCAAAAGATCAGTTGCCTTCTTATCTATTTGACTACAGTAAGAGTCATATGTTTATGTATTAAAATACATAAAAATAAATTTATGTATTTATAAAATTTGTGTATATGAAATATATAATTTAATAAAGTGAATTATTATATTTGAAAGAACTATTAAAATCAGCCTGATATTAGAAGAGAAAATGAATGGTTTTAGTGCTATTTCAGATGTGAGAATCCAGCCATTCAAGATGATAATTAGAAAACCACTCCTGATTTTCCTGAAATAAATGGGTTCTTTTAATCTAGCTGTTGATGAAGAAGTTGAAAAGCACTTTGTGGTTTATTTTAACCCAAGATACAAACATAATACCTGGGAATCTCAGGGAAGAATGTGGTTTCACACACTGAGATCAGACATGGGAACAATTTTTATAGGAGAGTTTACATTAGAAGGTCTCAGTTGTGCTTGCACAGTGCTTGCCTCCTTCCTGTCTGTGGTTCATGGGTTTTCGTAAGCCTCTGAGCAGGTGGCTGCCTTTATGGAGCTCTAAGGTTTTTGATTATCTTCCACTGTCATTTCTATTACTGTGGGATCCCAAAGAGCACAGAAGTATGTTGCTGAGTCTGCCAGTTTCAAAGGAGAGATGGTGAGACTGATGAAGTTTTTTGAGCTTTGAAAGTTCACGGAGAAGTGACCCTGTTTTGCACTTGGCTTGGAAGAATCCTGATAAATAAGGAAAACCATCTCTCCACTGGGAAGCTGCTTGTACCAGTACAAAGCATAATAATAATTGCTCCAACCAAGTTCATACTTGCAGTCCATGGTCACTGATTCTCCTTCCTTCCTTGTCATTATGGTCTGAGTTTGGGTTACTTTCTGAGCCATGCTGGATCCTGTAGAAAAAGAAGACAGGGTTCATTCTCTGAAATGTCTCAGTTGGGCCTTGAGGAATAGATTCATTTATGACACAAAGATAAAGAAAATAATCATATAGTGCTTCCTTTCTCCACCTCTCTTCCCTCTTAATACGCCCACCGGTTACAACTTGCATAGTCCTGTCCTTGAGCTCTAAGAAGCTGAGACCCCATGTGCCACATGTACCGAAGCTGAAGGAGGCCATGAATGCCCACAGCAGGCCAGGGCAGAGCATGATAGAAAGTCTTCTCCTGGTTGAAATTTTGCTTCTTCTCACTCAAGCCCAGAGACCAGCCCTTCTCTGAATGGCTGAGTGAGGAGTTTCTGGGGCTATTAGAAGTTTCCACCCACAAACAGGAAGTACAGTTCATAAGGAGGATGTTACACCGCCCTAATTAGAGACTGGAACATCTTCCCTACCCTAAACCTCTGATGTCTTTTCTGTGGCAAAACATTAAAAAATGGCTATTATATCTAGCAAGGTACTGGAATGAAGTTTCTCTTTTTCTTATTGAATTCTCACTTTATATCCTGTGATCAGACTATACTGTGAATGATTGAAATCCTTTGAAATTGATTAAAGTTTGCTTTAAGATCTAAAAAAGAGTCAACTTTAATGAATATTTCATGTGAATTTGAAAAGAACATGTATCTTGTTGTCTAGTGGTAAAGTCTTCTATATATGCAAATTAGGTAAAGAATATTGATTGTGTTGGTTATATTTTCTCTGTGTTCCTACTGAGAGATGTGTATTAACGCCTGCAACTATGGTTATCTATTTGCTTATTGATTTTTTAAATCAACAAATTCTACTAGTTTAATTCTACTGATTAACTCAACTGGTTTACATTTGATATGTTTTGAAGCTATGCTATTAGGTGTATATGAAAATAGAATTGTTCTATCTTCCTGGTAGATTATGCACTTAATCATTTTGAAGTGTTGCTCTGCATCTCTAGTAAGAATTCCTGGTTTAAAAGTTACTTTATCTGAGATTAGCATAGCTACTTAGCTTTCTTTTGAGTGGGGACACAAAATGTCTTGTTATCCATATGTAGAAGAATAAGGTTGTGTCTCTGCCTCCCACTATATTAAAAAATTAACTTGAAATGGATCAATGACCTCAATGTACTAACTAAAATTCTTAGAAGAAAACACAAATTTACTTCTTTGTGACCTTGGATTAGGTCACAAATATGACATCAAAGCCTAAGGAACTAAAGAAAAAATAGATAAATTAGACATTATCAAAACTAAAAACTCTTCTGCTTCAAAAGATACTATCAAGAAAATGAAAAGGACAACCCAAAGAATGGGAGAAACCACTTGCAAATCAAATATCTGTTAAGGGTAAAGTATCCAGAATATATTCAGAACTCTTAAACTCAACAATAGAAAGACCAATAACTCAAGAGAAAATTTAATTTTAACAGTGGTTTTGCTGGGCTTCTGGGGATAGGAGGGATAAAAGCTAGAGGGAATATTACTGTTCACTATATATCCGTTTGTATAATTTTTATTTTATAACTTGTATTTATTATCTATTCAAAAATCCAATAATAATTTTTGTTAAAAGTATTTTCACTACTCGTAGCCCTCCTTTAAAAATAGTAATTACTTTTTATTTGTTTAAAAAGGAGTTAGTGAGCTTTTTTTTCTCTAATTTGAAGGGTTTGTTTAGAATAGTTATTATTTTCCTTTCCTGAAGAGACATTGGGAAAAACTGAGACAGTTCATGCTGTTGCTGATGTATAAACAGACCTAAGAGGTATCAAAGAATTGGTGGTATGTTTCGTCAAAATCTCAAAAGTCTTAAATAGTGTCATTGGATCCAGGTGGACACTGTCATCAGAAACTTTCCCAGTTATTTCTGGTGAGCAGACATCCATCAGAGGAGAGAGGCAGAACAGGATTAAATGTTTCCATCCCTTTCCGTTCATCCTAATCAACCTTTAGCACCAGAAATATTGTCTGGCACAGAGTAGACAGCCAGTAAATGTTTGTTGAATGTAGAACGGTTGCAATGCAAAAAAGCTTTTCAGGAGTTCCTCTGGTTGCTACTTGAATTGTACCTTTTGTAACTGAGCATCTATACTCTGAAGATTGACTTTACAGGGGAAAATTGACACACATGTTACAAGAAAGGTATATTTTATATGTTAAATTGACATGAGTTAAGGCATGAGGGCATGAACTTAAGACACACAGAATGAAAATACTCATAGTAAATAGTTATCTTTGAGTGGTGAGAGTTTGAATGATTTTAGTTTTTGTTATATTTTCAAAGTGTTCATAATGAACATATGTTGATTTTATAACAGTTATCTTTTTTTCCCCCTGAGGCCACCAAATTGTCACCCAGAACAGTTTTATGCCTCCTTGGTACGTTGTGGAAGGTGTAGGATTTCAGTGAGAGAACCTCAAATATCCCAGTGAAGTTATCTTTACAGTTTACATATCTGCTTAAAACACCGCTGCTTCTCCTGTGGAATACATTGGAGTTGGTACAAATTGTAGTAGTTCATCTTGAGCTTTTTGAAAACTGAAATTTTTATAATTACAATGATTAGATTTCTGCATTCATTTCAAGTTGGAAACAAGCACATTATGACAAGCTGTTCTAACCCAAAAGCTGGTAGAGGGCAACGCAACACACGACTGGAGCCCCTGCTCGAGGCTTCAGGGGCCTGAGAGCTCTGTGTGTTTGCTGCACAGAAGTACGAGGCTGCTTCTCCTGGTTGGGTGGCTGAGATATGCAAGGAGACATGGTGAACCTCTTAGTCAACAGTACTGTGAGTCTTCTCTCCCGTTTTCTATCCATATTTGAACAGATCTCTATTAGAAGAGTAGAGTCGTTCTCTGCTTCCTTCTTGTACCAAAAGGGATAGTTCAAAGCCCCATCTGTATGACTGTAATTGATGACAGCTGTTTCTCTCTCCTAGACATTTCAGGATTGGAGCACTTCGCACCACATCATCTTTTTGGCCACTCACCACTGTTGAGACAAGGAAGAGGCATTATTGGATCATTTTCAGAATTTACATTTTATTTCTAGAGAGTCTACAGGAAATTTGAGGAGAACCAGAGTGATCCTCCTCCTTCCGCCAACTTGTGATGGACTTTTTCAGAGGCCCCTGGACTTAACATCTATGACAAATCTTGGACTCATAAAAATATTAATAAGAACATCCCTTTTGACCAAGCTTGTGGAATTATACCTAGTGAATAAAAGTATATGAATAAACATCTTTTAAGGAAAAACTCTATGGAGATAAAGGATTGAGTGAAGATAATGTAACACAAATGAGAATGTTGGTTCGCTCACCGAATACGGCTCTGACAGTGGTGTCCAGTCAGGTCATCTCTAGGAATAGAAAGAGGTAAGTGGAAGACCTGGAAATAGAGGATTCTCCAATAAAGCTCCCTTAAATTAGGTATCAAAGTTTCCCTGAACAATCTTGTTGCTTCAGGAGATGCTGAAAATCTAATTTCTCCAATTACTCTTAATTTGTACAAATTATTAATGCTATTATAGTTATGTTGAAAAGGAATCTCTATCTTTTGGAGTACTCCACCCCGGACTTCTAGCTCCATGCTATCCTTTAAGCCGTGCTTGCATTCCTGCAGCATAGAGAGGATCTCTCTCTTTCTATTTGTTCATGTTTCACACTCAACAATAGTTGGCTGTTATTTGTTTAGTGCTGTCTAGGCTCAGTGCATGGGTAGGTGAACTTCTCTGTTGTCTTGGTCCAGCTTCAGTCTTAGACTGAACCATGTGTCTGGAGCTCAGATTTAGGATTTTCTCAGTATTCATGTCTCTCCTCACCTTGGAGATCAAACACTGCCACGTTTCTCTGTGGGTCTTGTGTGAGAGAATTTTCTGCCTCTCTCTCATTGGTAGCAGAATTATAACAATATTGTTATAGGATCTTCAGCTCAGAATGGTTTCCTGTCCCTTACACAAAGATAGAGGCCATTTTCTTGACTCCTCTCTGCTGCAACAAATCTTAACTGTGCCCTGGGTAGGGTGTTTGTGTGTGTGTGACAAAATTTGTTGTCTCTCTTTATCTCCATACCCCAAAATTACAGGCTTTTCCTGCATGTTAGAGACTGATTTAGGCAAGGTGTCTGGATTTGTGCTTCCTGCAATCATAGGTGATTAGGTCTTTCAGGCCTGTACTGCTGGTGGGGCTCACTCTGTCACCCACTCTGTCCACAGTCATTTTTGTGAGCACAGGGTGGAGGTTTGTGAAAACAGCCCTACTAGTAAATGCAAAATCCTTTTGTGTCTGTGACTCCCAGGTGTTCTATATTGTCATGAGAGCCCTTACTCTATCTTTTAGCTGATTTCTCTTTCTTATTTGTATGGCGGCCAGCTCCTCTTTTACCCATGCTCTGCTAAATATGCTGGTCCGTATGCCTGTCTCTCCTTGGAGAAGCCTCTTCCTCATTGGGGTCCAGCCTATTTGTTTGCCCTGTGACCTCATGTCCCTGATAGGTTAAATTTATGATTTTGCTGTTTGCCTAGTTTTACATGTTAGGATGGAAGCAACAATCTTTCAGGCTTTACATATCCCAGGAAGAATTGCAACTCTGTACATCTTCTATTGCATCTAAAGTTAAAATGTTGATATCAGTAATGCAGTATTCTCTCTGAACCATAGGGAGCCTTGCAAAACATATTATCATCATAAATCTCGGTTCATAATTGAAATATCTCCTTCCTATTCAGTCAGAGAAGGAGGGCACTGTTCAACCTTCTGCTGGTTGTGTTTTGACTTCTATTGGTTTCTAAGCCATTTTTTAAAAAAAGTTGGACTGATTTTATATTTTATTTTTAAGGGTATTATAGAAACAGCAGTCTTTGTTCAGTCTTTGCTGATGGAGGAAGAGGCAAGCTCCTAAGTGTATCATTACTGATTCGGTGGCTTCAGGTAGGTTGTGAATCATGGGAGTAAACTTGGACTCAGTAAGGAAGAATCCAAAGAAACATTACAAGGTTGAGGAATTAGATAATTGTAGTTTATTCTGGTCCAGATGAGTTCTCTTTGGCACCTTTAAAAATGGGTTTTGAAGATGGATTATGGATATTATGGATAGCCAGGGAACATCTTCCACATTATTATTCACCTTGATCTTTATCCAAAGATTATGAGAAGAAGCATTTTGTAATACATATGAGGGAACTTGGACATAGACATTTTCCTTAAAGCAATGAGAAGCAACTGAAGGCTTTTATATAGGGCATCACTTTTTTTCATGAACAAAGAAGTGAGTGACTAAAGCAATGAGAGTAAGTGTTCAACAAGCAT